TTTGTTGTTTATTATTAGCAATGTTCTTTCGACGTCTGATTTCTTTTTAAAAAATGCGTTTCTGAAGTGCATAAACTTTTGGAATTGACTGTATAGCCAATACATCCTTAAAGAATCCCAGAAGATTCTTGGATACCTTCGAAGTTCTTAGAATATCGTTGAACAGTTTTTACTGCTATTTTAATTCTTTTACAAAAATATTGAAAACACGAGGAACAGTCGGTAGAGCTAGTATGCAGTGGTTGAAAGGGAGATTGTTAATTCCGTGGAACAAGTGTATTCTTTTTTTTGTTGCGGGAGGTTTCGCTCGAAAAATATCGATTAAACACTTGCTTGGGCAATCCGTAGGGGTGCCCCTTGGAAAGTGAGAGGGTCACCGTTTACGCCACAGGGTGGTGAGACAAACAGCCATTCGACGAATAGGGTGGACACGTTCCCAGACCAATCCTCGGTTTTACGGTCTCGCAAGGTCGCAGTTATTTTTTTTCCTCTCGCAACCTGATTTCGCTTACGGCCAGGCGAAGGTTACATATTGCATTCCGTAAAAGATGGATCGAGATTGTAGCTGGCCGAGTGAAAAATCGTTCGATTTAATAGCTTTCCATTAACGAAGTTAACGACATTTTGATATTTCCGGCACGAACTCTTATTATACTTATCTATTCGGTCATCGAGGAATCTCGCAAATTGGCAAGTGTCAGTATACACGTTGGCACGATGCCATTCGTGCAACACGTGAGCTCAACGAAATAGTGAACGAATGCGAGAACGTCACCGAAGAAGAAACAACGCTCGTGATAAATCCCCATTAGCACTCGGAGTTCCGAAAGACAGTAACCGATTCCCTCCCTCTATCATTGCGAGAATTCTAAGTTTCATTCTGCCAAATGAATTTCTCTGTTTAAGACCAATGTGTTCTGTTTCTTTGCCAAACAAATTTTATACAATTTTTATATCTATCATAAGTGTAACGATTTTCGTTTCTATTTGTTTTTACAGCGAAGGTAGGGAAATGGTACGCGTGTCGTTGTTAGGTCCGCAACCTTCACCGACAACGCCCGGCGTATTTCAGGTGCAGCCACTCGTGATATCCAGGACCATACCGATCGACATGGACCCCATCCAGGCCGAACTCCTGACCACGCACACCGAGCACACGGCTCCAGCTTATCACACGCAAATAAGGTGAGTCGTTCTTACGATTTCGGTCAGCCCGCTGTGTCGTAAATCGATCGCAAATATTTAATATTCACGTACAAACACGGAGTAGAACGAAAACCAAACGAGCGTTTAGTAAATAGGGAAACAGGTGTAACAGGGAACGCGTCGGAAAAAGTAGTTTAAGACACCTGTAACAATTATCAAAAAACTGTAGTGGCACGCAGCGTGGAATGAGAGCCACTATTTTTTCTTCTAATTAGCTCCCTGCATGAAACACCGGCGGGAGATGCCCCCCCTGTTGCTCTTAATGGGCCGGAAATGACGTGCCGCCCCCTCGACTTTTCTCCGTCTTTCTCTTTTTAACGGTGCCACGGCACCAATTCACTTACAATCCTTCGCAACCACCTAGCCACGGGTCATCGTTAACCGTTACGCATATTCCCGCGTACGCGACGCGATCGTTTTATGAATCGTTCGCTACTCGACCACTTCTCCACCGCTCTTCGCTTCGCATCTTAATCCGTCTCGGACGTATCGTTTTACCCGTTCGGTGTACGTTTTCACGTCCAATCGCAGGGCAAAAAAGATGCGACACGTTACGGTATCTACTTTGCGTCGACCGACGCGTGGTAGTGTCGCGTCGTATAATAATAAAAGAAAACAAGTAAACGTCTGTACAAGTTGCAAACGCGTATCTCGTTTGGATGGCACAACAGGTCTTGTCTTTAAATAACGTTTACTCCGTTACGCAACGAGCGTGGTACCTGTATCAAACATTGGCGACGCAGCCTTGACTTCGATCACGACTGATCCGTTTACTTGGAAGATGAACGCGTCCGTCGCAACAAGTGTTTTCCTATTTTAAAAACGTTCCTCATGAATATTTATTCGCCGCGGCCGTGAATCGGAGGTATAAGGTCTCTAAATCCAATTTGTTTTCCACCAAACGATTTAACCGAGTTGCGATGAAGTTGATCCTTGTTCTGTCGGGAAGTTCGTCTCTGGTCTTACGCAATCAAACGTTCTGCGTATTACCACTTGCGTTACACGCGGGAGAGCCAGCGTAACCGACTAGATAGGAACAACGTTTCGGTGCAACGTTCGCCTCGTTTCCTTTCCTATTGTCTGGCTTGCTGCGCCGGCAATCATTACGTAACCCTCGAGTCCTGACTTCTCTTCGAGATAAAGCGGTTTTTTTCCTAGGTTTAACGAAATCTTCCGTCTCCTCTTTTTCCGGTAATCGTATAAACGTTCTTTGGCAAAAGTCGAATGTAACTCGTATCTCGGCGATTGCTTTTCTTTTATCAGATCAACTCCGACGTACGCTGACTCACGCGATTGGTCAACTCTGTTCGAATTGCAAATAAACAGTTCTGCATATTGCAAAAGTAACATACAAGCATTCTTGTTTTTCCTGTTGTATATTTACGACGAAGTAAAAGGTTTGATTGATTAATCTGAGCGAGAAGATCGATGTCTGTAATTCTCGGTTTGAGACGAACGGATCTGTGCGTAGCAGCGAACGAGGCAATTAAGGAACTGAAGATCCTACTTAAAGAGGTACGTTTCGCTGTTACCGGTGCCAAGGCAGAGTCGGTGTTACTCGGTTAGCCAGTGTACAAATAGCAATGGTACTATTAGCAGTACCGCCACCACGAGGAACACTGGGTACTAGCTGTGAGGTGAAGAGAGGAAAGAGGAGATGTCAGGAGAGAAAGAGAGAGAGGAGGGAACGATCGATATAGCGTGGGTGGATGTGCAGAGGTGCGGTAGGACAGCCGCCAGTTGTGCTGTCGGCTGCATCACCGAGCGAACCGTGTGCCGAAGATCGCGTTCTACTTCTATCCTTCCGTGTCCTCTCGCGGTGTGCCCCGTGTTTCCGGCATTCGTGCGCACGCGAACCCACCGAATTCGATGGGGATCGTACGACCCCAGTCAACGAAGATCGATCAATTTTTGGACGATGACGGTGCGACTTGACCAAATATAAATTCGCTGTACATCGGAACTGGTGGGATCTTTGAAAACTCGAGACACAATATCTTGAAACTACTCGGCGGAATTTTCTTAGTCGAAAGTTTACGAGCGTTGGTGGCGTCTCAAAGAAATTGCCTATTATGATTCGTTTTATTGCAGTCTTAAATTCTTCTGTATGAAAACGTTATTAATTATTTACATGACGTAGAGTGCCGGGTAGATTTTATGCGAAACGGGCACATAGTTTCGAGTATTCGTAAGCTTCAGAAGCGGAAACGGAGCACTGACTTCGTGAAAATAGAAACGAACATTCCTCGGGCATGGTTAAACGCGTCTACCAAAGATAGAAACGAAAGAAATTAAAGTCCGGTACCATCGTCGGTGTTGTCAAATTCTTTTAAGCGTGATCCAAGTTGCGAAAGGGGTGGACCCGGAAGGACCACCGTGGAAAGGTCCATTCGAATTCCGTGACAATCGATTCGACATCGTGTTTTCAAGTAGAAACAAGCTTTTTATGTCTCGTATAGAAACAAAATCTAGGGCACGGATATAAAATTGGTGTTACGATCAAACGACAAACAGCTGCGAGATCTCATAAGTTATTTTCGGTACTGACTTATTGTTAGGAGCTGATTGAATCGATTATTTTTTCAATCAATTTTTTACGTGGCATTGCCTGCGAACGTAACTCGCCAGGACGCAGTTTTATGAAATGGGTGGTGTAAATTGAGTGGGGCAACGGTGCCCCGGCGAGCGGGTCGCCGGTGATAGAAATCAATTGGTACATCGCGTGGTCGTCGCGACTTCGCACACTGGCCTACATGTCCTCTCTTTATTGGCGGCTCGTTCGTGCTCGCGTTCGACGCTTACTCTTATTCAGAGAATTTTCTTGGTCAACGAGTACGGCCGACTAGGTACGACGCAGTCGCGGAAAAGGCGACCGCAGCCTTATACGCGATGGCGCAACCGTACGCACCCGTTGCACCCCTCGCTACTCGCATCTCTAGCTACCTGCTAAACAATCTTTGTCTCGCGTATCTTCCGTCGCGACTTTCCTCGACAATTCCTGCTTTCAGCCGTTTTCAATCGCGGCCGGCCTTTCAAACCGAAACCTCTTTTTCTTCTTAACAGTTCCTTCGGGGTGGAAAGAATGTCTCGTCAAATGTCAAAACCGTTGATACTTTCCTTTGACAGTACTTCTGAATGTTTTGTCAAATGTCAAAGCTGTTCCGTGGCTGGTACCTTTTACGTAATACGATTTTTATGATCCGGCGAGCATCGTTGAAAACGTCGTCGTCTTGTAATCAAAGGGAGGGGCTAGATAATGGATTAAACGGGAGCCAGTTAAAGGGAAGCCAGTAACGAGGCACGTGACCCAAGTCTCTGAGCGGGACTCTGATTTTCTCAAGTGAACGTTCCACACGTTGTACAACAGTAAAATCGAAACGATTCCATTCCGATAATGGCAGCCGGCTTATCGGAGATGTAATAGGTTTCACCTTGGACCATTTCGCAAATCTTCGTTGCTCGCATGTATATTTTAATAAGGAGCAATGACTGCGAAGTTTACCGAGGTGAAAACCATTACCGAATGTTTAAACGGAGAACCGATCATGACAACTTGCGAAACATCCGACTTTTTATATTCTTGCCACGCGCTGAAATAGTAAACTGATCTAAAATCCGACGTGAACACAAATAAATTCTATTGCGAGGTAACAGGAAGTGCGTTTGGGTCAGGTATTTGCGGCGGATAACAAACAGAGATGGGAGATAGTGCTCGCCTAGCCGTGACCTATATATTTGCCCTCGGTCGCGTCACCCTCGGCCAACCCCATCGCTGGAAACGGCAGACCGTGCCTTGAAATCGTTTTAGCGAAAACGTTCTCATCGATATTTAGAGACGTTGCAGGCACCGCGTGTTTGTACCTACATTTCGATGATAGCAGAACGCGATTCGCTCGTTAATCGGGATGTTGGAAATGTCAACGGGCAAATTGTTTCCAGAGAGGAACGAGTGGTGTGCCTCGTGGTAATCGTTGGGTGGAGCAAACGTCTCGATTGGTAGAACGTGACTCGTTTCATGAGAAATTGTTACACGATTAAATCTGATAGAACGTTTTTGTATCGACTTCTTTCGTATAGAGAATCGAGTACGTATCCAGTCCGGAGCAACGAACCCGTGTCTTTATATAACAACAGGAAGCAAAGATAGCGAGGCTATTATTTCGAGCCGATAGGAGCCCCGGGGGTGGTCAAAGGGGTGAAAGTTTATTTTTACGGTGTTTCGTTCTTATTACCCGCGAAACCAGCGGATCCAAGCTTCGTTGTTATCGCGTACATACTCGACTGCGTTTAGTCAGAATTGACTTCTCTGGAAGCCGTACATCTAGTACACCGGTTATAAACAGAATCGGATCGATGCCGCGTTCGCCTATGCAGTTGCACAACTAATTGCCGCGCGAGCAATAAAAATCAGTTGATACGGTGTCCCTTCGATATAATGTGAAAAAGTCCAACACGTTAAGCATGATTTTTACATCTCTGCTACTAAACGTTATCTCGTTCAGAACCAGTGGAATGACTAATGCGACATTGCATTCTTCAGTCCGGATTAGTGTAATAAGATCTGGGATTGACTATCCGTGGAAACAATACTAATGTAATTTTTCTGACATATTATTAGCATTTTTCATATCTTCATATATAATTGGAATTATATTATGTTTGCTATTATTTTCATCAGAAGAATCTCAACGATAAAAAGTTTTGATTGAAGGAAAATCGGAAGGAAAGAAGTTTTGTAGCTGCATTATTACTGTAATTCGATACGGAAGGTTTTATCTTGTGTCCAGCGCACAATTCCGCTGTCTCTTTCTACATTCCTGGCTTTCGACGAAACGTGACATGAACACCAGAATGTAGTAGTTTAGATAAGTGACTTTGAAATCCCGACGACTCGACAATTATCGAAGGGATATTATACGTTTCATACAAGCGGAGCGAAGGAATTGCGTCTGATTCCCGTGTTCCGTTTCAGAAATCGAGTAAAATAAGGGATACAGATAGAACGTTGTAAATTAATAAACCGTCAGGGTATTTCCGTTTGGCGACACGTGGATAAACTCCTGCCTCTGGGAGGTAGACAACACACGGGGAATCGGAGTAAATGGGTCGAGGACTTTGCGAAAATAGGTCAGCTTCGGCTCGGCTGGATCGATGAGCAGCTTACGCGTTTCATTATTACGGTTCGACGAAACAAACCGCGCTTCGTCTTTCCGTGTTTGTTGTTAGGCCATCGTCTGACGCGGTTTCACGCTCGATCTTGTTTTCTTTTCGAGTTTATTCCGAGGTCTCGAACGTCGAGACGCGGACCGTTCTAAAAAGGTTTGAGGATGCGGTTCGGTCCGAGGAATCCGACGGACGGATTTTCTTGATCGCGGACTGAAATAACGGGTCGTGTCTCGCCGTTCCGTGACAGACGGAGAAAAGGTTGGTGGGACGATGGTAGAGGCACGCGTGGGAGAGAGAGAAAAAGGCCGAGTTGCAAAGATCTCCCGCCACGATTCCGCTTAAAAATAAAGTCCTCGGGTTCGAGGCTGGTTCGCGCGAAATCATTGCCGAGTTCTGTTCGGTGACAGGGTCGGCCGAACGTCTCGGCCGGTAGAGTCCAGTGACGAATACAACGGAATGGACTGTTACGCGAGTCGCTAAGGGGGACCAGTGAATACTCTGTTATGTTGATATCGAGAGGCGTGGATTCGCGATCGCGGACAAAATGACGACCACCCACGGAGGACACGTGTACTACGTGATCAAGGTGCCGAAGGAGACGACGGATGGGAACGAGAGGTAAACGGGAGTCGAAATTTCGTGATCGCATGTACGCTAAATATTTTGCCACGAACACGCACTCGGAGCTCTTGAACTTGCACGCTGAGCTCACCGCGTCGAAATATACACCGGGAACTCGATCGACGAGTTACGAAACACGTACGCGAGAATAACTGATCCGCTTCGCTGATTTCTATACAAACCGTACCGTGCAACGATTACAACCGTTGATACAGACAATATGTTGCGCGCGGCGCAACGCATTCGATGATTAATGAAAAACGCTTGGTACGATATCGTTAATTTACGTATGTGAACTGGAAACAGCTTCGAGGACGTAAAACGACCGTGGAATAGATTTACACAGGAATCATATCTGCGAAAAAAATGTATAGAACGTCAAAAGGAAAATAGATGGACTATTATTTTACATAATCGTGATAGATGACGAAGTTGTCGCACACGGGGATCCATAAATAAGGCTGGTACTTCCTCGTTGCAACGTGAAAGGCCCGCGTAGTAAATCGACGACTCTCTTCCGTCTATTGTCGCGTAATAGCGGAACTGCGGACGGACGCTACGGAATGCGACGACTCGAAAATGAACGGGAAATCGAGGGGGAATCGACGCTCGATTTCGCAATAACGAACGTTATTAGTACGTTTGGCCGTGATCCAACAGTTCTACTGACCATTTCACCTCAAACCTTTTTTTGCCTCTCCACTTTCGTCATCCATCTATACTTAATCCCCGTCCCTTTGTATCCGTCACTTTTAGTTCGAGCAGGTGTAGTTCCGTAAATTTCTTATTTGCTCGAACGTGTACCGTGATACGTTCCCTGAAACGATTGCGTGTGCACTCGTTGCACGTGCACCATCGAGAAGGGGAAAGAGGATAGGCTACAATTAGGTGCAATCCGATATCGTGGTCAATGTCACGGTTAACCAGGAGTGGTGATTGTAATTGAGCCCAATTCACCGTGAAGTTTCGAGCTTGTAGGAAGATGAGTAATAAAAAAAATACGTTCGTTATTGGTGCGTCTAATGAAACGATTATAACGGCACAGCGATGGCAACGAGTAGACGATGTTTCAAGTTTATTTGCGGGACCAATCTGACGAGACGAATTAATTTCCAGCACGGACAGTGGTTGGGATAATCCGTTCAGACCAGACGGCGACCTGTCGAGGGAGGCCGACGAGATAGTGGAATTGATAAAGGGCGGGAAGCCCATAACTCCGACCCCCGGGCAGACGGCTCCGCCGTTGCCGGGATGCGACGCAAGCAACGCGCAGATTACCGACCACGACTCCAGTTCCAGTCCGCTATTGAAGAACTCGACGAATCGGCACGCGAACTCGTCGCCGAAACCGGGCCAGGAGAATGGAAACGCTCATGGCACCCCGATGAAAGCTGCGACCGGAAACAGTCAGCAGCCCGTCAATGAGAGGGTAAGCATCAGCTCCATCTTAAGTAGAAATCTTAGGAAAAATTGCAAGTCATCTAAAAAGTTAACGGTGAACGGAACACCGTTACCCAAAGAACGTTAGAGTGTTTTATCCTCAGAAAAGAATCTCTTCTTTTACTATTTCCTACTTGAACATTGAATTGCTTGTAACAATAGTTGAATTTGTTGATTTACAGGTTGCCGCGTCGTCAAAGACAGCTACGGTGGAAGTGGCCAGGATGACGGCGCAAGGACCAGGCGACGCTTCGCAGGTCGAACACGTCACCTTGAAGAAAAAGCCTAAATGCAAATGTTGTCTCCTGCAGTAATGGAAACGAGGCAAGAGCTATCGCGTCGGATGTCTCAATAGTCGGACGATTCTCCGTCATTGAAGATTTATCGCAATCCGGTCGCGTTTCGTGCCGCGGGAATCGTAACTCTTCCCGCGAACGGATTTGGGAAAGGGTGACGCGTCGCGTCCTATTTTCCCCCCCGAAACGAATTCGCGAATTTCCTTGTGAGAGTTGGGAAGATATTCGCAAAACTCCCGATACCGGTTGCGGTATGAACAATGATACGAAGTGAATCGACACGGAGGATACCTGAATGCGCGTAAAAGCACCTCTTGATAGCCTTTCAGAGAAAGAGAGAGAGAGAGAGAGAGAAAGGAGAGCGAGAGAGGGAGAGAAAGAGGGTCTATAAACTTTATAGTATATAAAGCAACAGACTATATAAAGCGGAGAGAGTAAAACAAATATATATATACATAAAACTATATTGTAGATACAGAAATGGTAGTTGTATAGCTTATATGCTTTTACTATTGTGGTTAATTACTGTCAAAATTATCGTGAATACCAAGAATGTTTGTCCGCATGCGAATGACGAAAACGAGAGAGGAAACGAAAGAGAGAGAGAGAGAGAGAGAAAAGGGAGTTGCACACGGAACGTCTAAAGAAGAACTTAACGGAATACTATTAACTTCGTTGGTCATCGATATATTAATATTATAGATTCGTAAACTCTCGTTTTTACTAAAAAATCTCAAGAACCTCTATAGAACAGAACTTTTACGAAATTTTTTAACATCGAGTAGAAGAGAAAAAGTGTGCTGATGAATGATGATCGTGAGAAAGGAGAGAGAAAGAGAAAACGAGCGAGCGAGCGAGAGAATGGAAGAACTCGATCAGGTGAGTGAAAACTTTTAAGCCGGCCGTATTTTTTTCGCGATTAATCATAAGCATGAGAAAACGCGTAGAATTTTTCCTTTCTCCTTCCGGGGATGAAGGTGTCGTCTATTTAACCGCTTTACTTTGACACACGGATCTTTTCTATTCCATTACCGTTTCTTTCCCTACACCTCGCATCGAACGTAAGTACGAAAAGGAGGGAGAGACTTGTAATTACTACGAGCTGGCGCTCGGCGGTCCACCCGCGTGAGTAACTATTATTCAGGATCGTTATTGTACGTGAAATGTGTAAATACCGTGATATTTTTTTGAAACGTACGATTGTCGGCAAAGCTGCGGCACAAACAATTAAATTGCGAGCCAGGGAAAACTATACACGTTAATCATCGTTGAAACGATCTTTTATTATAATTACGTCTTTTAAAATTATTTATTTTATCTTTTACTTCGACGCCACCCTTCGCAGCTATTTTATTCCAATTACAAATTACAAATATGAATTATCAAAGGGTTGGCACGTTTAAAAGAATGCGAGTATAATGCGAAACGAATATATTCTAAAAAGGTTTCGCTGAAAGGGTAACCGTTGATCGGTTCCGATGTGTATCTAATCATGTGAAGGGGAAACGATATAGGATCGCGTTTCTTACACGTAACGCGTGTGGGACGAGGGAACAATCCACCCCTGTATCGAGCGGTGCTTGATTTTGCGTTCGGTTGGTGGGTTGTGCGTGGGCTGCGTGTTTGCGCGAGTGCCTGTGTTTTTTTAATACACATATCCGCGTATTTTTCCTAGACCGTCGCGTCGTGCCGCGCCAGGCAAGACGCTGCGGTTACGTATTAATTTTCAAGGGGAGGGCAGAAAGCTCTCGCTTCATTTCGAATGATCGTACGCAGTCGTCAGTTGTACGGTACAGAGTGTAATATAAAGTTGTAAGTAATAGAGGATCCTGAATAATTTACTCGCGTCCTCGCGATCGGCGTCTGAACGAAAGTAGAGCATTGCGTGTACGTTAAAGAGTATACATGTATATACGTACGCATACACGAACAGTTGAAGAGTATTAAACATCTTTCCGTGACTTCTGCTTCGATTCATGTTTCTCAATGAAAATCTTTCAAGCTTAATATCCACGATTAATGTTCTGATTCGCGAGAGCCTCGGCGCATTCCATCGAGGATAGCCGTCGGTCGAGTATATTTTGTATCGGGAGAAATCGAATGTCCACGTAACGGAGAAAGGGAACTACGAAGGGTGTACCAAGATTCAAAGTTATTATTTTATTAAGAGAAACGAAGTGCTAATTCGATTGTAAAAAGAAGATGGAGTTTCTAGACTTAACACCTCTGTGCAGAACGTTTCTTAATTAATACGAAAGAATTCTGAGCACAGGCTCGTGACCTGAGGCGGTTCGAAATTCTCGTGGCGGGCCATCGAATTCGCGACGAAATCATTTCTCGCTTACGTCCGAGAAGGAGGAAATCAAAAAATCTCCTTTAGTTAGTTCGCACACGAATCTAAATTTAACACTGCCTGTGATATCTAAAGCAACCTTGTTCTCGCGTCGCGATGAGTCATCCCAAACATCTCGACGGCCGCTCAAGTAATAAAGGATTTAGTTAACGGTCACATCTGTGGGAACAATTGAACGTAAGAACGTTTTACTGCGCGACTTCGAGGCCGGCCGGAATTTTCGTCGCCGCTCTCAGGCTCGAAAGCTCTGTTGCTCACGATAACTTGATAGAATATTCAGAACGCAAGCTTCTCGATCGATCGCGAGACGAGTCGGGCGTCACGAGAAAACGCGACGTTACCAACGAGTGTCCACCGAAACTCTCCACGTCTGTTCCCACGCAAAATGTTCATTTTGCTGAGCTTACAGATACTGAGCGAATATTAAATGTCTTGTTAAGAAAAAACGAATCAAAAATCGAAATCCCATCGAAACCGTTCCCTTCTATCTCTTCACTCTTTAATTGGAGAAGAGATTATCGTTAAACGCATCGATGAAAGGCAACGCGGACAGCCTTTCATTTCCTTACGTAAGTTCGGTAATAACCCATGAAAGCGAGCTTGTCTTTAGGTAGATATTACAAATTCATTTTGGTTTCACGATTGTTCGAAAACTTCGTGGGCCGAGCAATCGTTTCTTAAACAATTTCTGTTTACTATCGCTGAGAAGCCACGTTCGAAAAGTCAAATGCGAATCGCGGGAGATAAATCCGTCGCATCGTGAGAAGCACGCGAGTATCGGCTTTGGTGCGATAACGTATGGGAGGATTACGTGATAGCACGTGTATCTTCTTTTCTCGCGACAAAGTTCCTTTCTCTCTGCCCCATGGCCCGTGGAACGATACCCGTTCGAATTATGAAATCGTTACGTCGATCGATGCGGGAAACATCGCATCGGGTCATCCGCGAGAGTACGTTGGCCCAAATTCTGGTAAAAGTACGATAGTTAAAAAACGATGGAACAATCGTTGGCCCAAATTTGGTGCAGGGTTCTCGATGGAGCGTTGGCCGTTCGCCAGCCATCGACAAAGCGAGAGGCCAACGACCCTTCCTCTCGGTACACGGATACTCTAACCGAGAAACGTGCAGAGTGGATTAAAGAAAAGAGAGATTCGTGTCACTCTTTGAGAATCTGATCCTGGTTCAGATCGTTCTCGAATCGAAGCAGGTCGGCTACTGGGTATGCGATGGGTTCGGTACGAAAGGAATAAAAGGGTAAAATGTCAGATCTCGACTCCCGTGGCGTTACACCGTAGTATACCTACAAAGAGCAAACGCATCCTATTAGCGGTTGAGATCGCATTGTTCCAATGGTGTGCCCTTAAAAGAGCGAAATCACATCCATCGTAACGACGTTGGCCTTTGGATCGCATGCCTAACGGATGGCGATAAATTCTCCGCCGCGAACCTAACGAACACAAGCACCGTGTCCCTCGCGAGTAATTCATCGAACGCGTCTCGTCGTATCCCCTCGAAGATACGCAACGATACAATCGTCCTACGTTTTTCTCGCGACCATGGGAGACCATCGCAGACTGCATTCAGACTACGCGTTAACGTCATGAGATAATAAATGTCCTTTTCGGGATAATTTAATTTATCTACTAAACGCTGTTACGATCTTACTCCCAGTCATTGACGCGTCGTAAACGTCTGCTTGCTGCCATCTTAAATCAATCTTTATAAAAGTATTACCTTTGAAGTTCGAGTCGTGTACCAGATTAGAACAAGACAAGTTTCAAGAAAATCTTCGTCGGACAAATAACGGGCAGAAATAAAATGAATAGTTTTCATTTGGAGGATTCGACGAAATTCGGCGTTACGAAGAAGAGATTGCTGAAGAAAAAAAAAAAGGGAGGAAATATTTATTGCACCTGTTTGGGATACCTTCGTGACACGACGGACGATAGATGGTATCGTAAAGGGGAAAAATGAGAACTGAACTGAATGTTCGAGGATGGAACACGACGTTTGCACGATTCCCCGCGAGTACGGGTCGCATCAGAGGGGGAAAAAAGCTATGTCCTTGCATAGGAGCCAGCGATCGGGTATATAAAAGCTGCTGAAGCGTACGAGCGCAGATGTTATTAGTAGCTTCTGAAATCTTGGGATATATCGTCTAACGTGAAGTCGCGTGTGCCTCGGGGGATGTCAATTAACAAAGTGTTGTCAGTGTGACCGATCTACGATGACCTCTCAAAAAATTGTGCCTAGGTCGCTGGTATGTTTTCAATTTGATCAAAAATAATCGTGCCCTTAATTATTCACCGCGCGAGAATAAAAAATAAGAATTCGCTCATGGATTTCATTCACGATAGTGATTTAGAAATTTTGATTTTTGTTAATTGAATCATGTGTTCGATAGATTGACAGTTTACTGCACTCGTCAAACATAAAACGTTTAATTAATCGTCCATATCGTAATGTTTTCATTAATTGAATATAAACGAATTAAGTAGAAAGTGTCTTTTCAATACGATTCATGCATTGACGTAACACGTACCATGGCGAAAGAAAGATTGTCAGATTACCGTACGTTGCGAACGGTCAAAGGGTCACCGCGAATCAAGACGAAATCCCTCGAAGCAAACAAGTTACTAATCTCCATATAGACGCATCATCGATTGAAAACAATGTCGATACATTAGTTTCGCAATTCTTGCACTTTTTGCATGGATTTCTCAGATCCTCTGGGTAGTGATTCTCGGTGCATGGCATTGCACCGGTGAAAAATTGTCTCCGAATCAGAAGGCACCTTTGTTCGCCCGCGGGGCCGGAGGATTGATTCTGAACACGCCGTTCGAGGACAACAAGGCCAGAAGAGGTCCAGCTTCGACCTCGATTGCAACCGCGAACGTGCCCGTCAACGATGAAGTGCAAAGGGAAGAAACGGAAGAGCTGAAACTGGTCGACGGTCAATTGGTGCGGACCGTGAAAGGAAGCTTTGCGTACAAAAGCCCAGAGGGTCTTCCCATTTCGGTCAAGTAAGCAACAATCGATGCCATTCGATCGTCCGTAACTTATATCGATGTCCGTTCGAAGGTACGAGGCTGACGAAAATGGTAATAGAGCAAGTTTCAAGTTTGGGACGGGTGAAGTAAAGGTCGGCGGATCGTCCGCTGGACCACCGAGAGGAGGAGGTCCATCCGGAGGTCGAAACGGAGGACCGACCAGAGGTCCAGCCGGTCCAGGATCAAAGGGAAAAGACTATTTACCGCCGAAGGATGTCGATAGGAGTTACTTACCGCCGAAATAAAATCTTCATTACTCCCTTTAGCCAAAGTTAACAAGCTTATAGGAAACAATTTTTATACTGATCTTATTAGTCATCGTTCCGACACGCGATTGCGTTTTTTAACATTTTCTAAGTAGCTCCCAAAATCGTCTCGATTCTGGTTAGCTTGTTTTAGGCAAGGTCTAGAGTAATCGTAAGTGGGTTGTACGCATCAATTTCTATAAAGTAAAATATATTTTTTCACAAATGCTCATAATACAATTCAACAGCCCTATATATACATCAGATTCAAAAATACTAACAGTGCTTCGTTGATTGTAATATCTAATTAAGGATCGTTAATTAGAGAATCGTAGAAAATCTTTATTTTACTTGACGTATATGTACAGAACAAACAAGACAAGAGTAATAAGTATAATTAATAATAGTTTGATGAACGTTCATCTTTCGGAACCACGATATGTAGTATAACCGAACGGGCTGAGAAGCACAGGTATGTGATAATGGCCCATGGGGTTCTTTACGTCAAACACGATTTCGATAAACGGATACATCGTTTCTATCCTCCTTAATGTGAAATATTTGTCAACATCAAAGTGTATCTTGTATCGACCAGCTGTAAAGTTGCCTTTCATATTATCTGCCAAGTCTACGCACCGACCGTTAGGATTCGTATTGCTGGAACGAAACAACAATTTTCAATGTTTCATCGCACGCGTTGACGAAACTAGTAAAAAACATGTTCATTCGTACCTCTCGTTCAGGAAAGTCCATCTTCCGTCTAACAATTTGTAGAGACTGACTTGCAACCCTCCGATTGGTAAGCCTTTGCTCGTGTCCACGACGTGAGTAGAAATTCGAGGTCTTTTCGCTATTGGATTTTTGACAGTCTTTACGAGTACGTGCTAAAACAAATTTTAACGTTTAATAAACATCGTAAAATACATTCGATCGTGGAATGTTCCGCGAGTACGAATACCAACAAACCTTTTTCGGTGCTTGATAACTAGTGCTCGCAACAGCCAGCTGATCCTTGTTTACCTGAGCGCCTTTCGTGGCGCCTTCCGGTTGATCAGCTGGAATTGCAGGTTTCTTATCAGCCATTACCAACGTAGGAAATTGACTTCCCTTTACTTTACTCAGCACGTAGTGAGTACCAGGCTGGAATGTACCACCTGTTAATGTCAGGGTTTTCCCGCCCGATGTTAAAGTAATAGTCTTATTTTGCGCCGATCCAATTGGTATCGCATTTACGGGCTGAAGCACACCGATCGTAGAAGTAGGCGGCGCAGAAGTGTTAATTTGATATGCCGTGCTTAAGATTGGACAGGCCATCACTACTTCCGATGCTCCCTCTTTCCCATTCTGCTGAAACATTATCAATTCAAATCATTTCAACGGCTCGTAGCTAATCTCAATACAACTGTATATTGATATTTACCGATGACTGTTTCTTATCGGATTTAGCGCCGACACGCCGAATCGATTTTTCATTTTCGTGCTTATCCTTCGACGTATCTTTAACAGGCTCTTCCACATCAGAAAGAATTACAGTTTCGCAGTTACTGTGATCTTCCGATTCGACGACCATTTCCATCTGAACACCACCCGGGGTATCTGTCTCGTCTAGATATTCGCCTTGCATGTGATACGAATCTGTCAAAGAGTCCTCACAATTTTCTATTCTCTCTATCTTGATATTCTTTGTGAGACTCTTAGACCCTTCATCGTCCGAAGCCAGCCCCAATCTCATACCCTCAGCTTCTTCCTCTTCTTCGTCCTCATCATCTTCGATTTCCATAGCAGGATCTGCTATTGGGTCTTTGATCTGGCTTTCATCTAATTCATCATCTGTTTCTAATCTCTCGACGATGTACTCCACATCATCATCTGTACCTTCTATTTCCACCTGAGAATGCTCGACGGTCTGAAGAAATAATTAAATAATTATTTTTAAATTTAATCAAAAGAATCGAAGGTATTTTTTTAACAAGTATGCTGACCTCGACCTCTTCGACATGTTCGATTTCAACATCCTCCGATTTCCATTTTCTCGCGGCAAGTTTCTTTTTCTCTTCGGCTTCGTGCAACAGAGCCGCACGTTGGTGTTTCATCGTACACGTGTGTTTTAATAAAGATAGACGATGCGCGTGCAGGTTCTTCTTGCAATACAGGCAATAAGCACGTGTCGCTTGAAAAGGCACAGAGGTCAACCATCCTGGAAAATAAATAAGTAATCCTTCAAAAACGTTTATTAAAACGGTCGTATAAAAACGGTCGTTTACCGTTCGCGGGTATTTACTTCCTCCCTCGAATGGTCACGACTGCGCCGTTCCACCAAATACATATTATCTGTACGGCGATAGTGACACTACCTCGAAAGTCGAGTGTTCTTTACTGGTAACTTATTAACGCTAGTAATAACATGGTCGCATTCGGTTTAGTTCAGTAATGTCGCGAACACCATCGGAGGAAGTCATGCAACGTTCGAATTCAGAATCGTTCGACTGCAAACACGTTTCACCGATCGATCACATAAGCACTCGAGTACCTTCAGTTTACAGAGAAACGTATTCGAAGCAAACGAGATAACGAAGAAGTGGACAATTAGAAACGATGTAATTTACTCAGCCTGTACGGATCTGATATAGTAAAAACAGACGACGATCGAGCAAGGAAAATCGAATTTACGTGGCGACGTCGTCCTCGGTAACCAATTTACTCTCATTAATCGGATGCATAGCTGCGTTAGATCGTGACGAAACGAAGCAGGAGCGATTACTGTATATGCACACGTATACGCGGTCTCCAGCGTGGCACGGGTGCACGTCGTGTCACGATGTACGAGAGCGTAGTATCTTTTTTTTCGGACTGCGAGCTATTTTGGAGGCAACAATGAATAACGGGCGACGACAGGTACCTTTAAAATCGGGCATTTGTTCCCATTCTTTGCGATATCGCTGCGTGTAGACACGCGTCTTAGCATGGCTGATTTTCCCTGTCGGTGTGAGACGCTGGCCCGTCGGTGTTACCAGGTTCGCGTGCAACACCGTCGTCTCGTCGGACGTGGTCGAAGTCGAAGGCTGCATCTTGTCCATTATTTAAACGAGGGGCCGATTCGAAATCGCCCGGATCTCAAAATACCCAAAATCGTAACACGAAATCACTAAATAGTTTTTTCCACGACGTAAGGGGGGGTGGGGGGCACTCGGCGACCTCACCGAGATCCTCGCCTAGCCTAGTACCGAAGTTAACTCCCTAGCAATGGCGAACAACTGCAACCTTTCCCAAATACAAACCCCTCTGCTCACGCCAGTCAGCTGCCAAACACGCAGCTCGCATTCATGTACCTAGGGTCCCCTGCACCTCGTTCTCATCAGGTACACACACATATGGTTCTTTCATCCTCTATCCTAGTATCAAATCGACTCTAGTCCTAGTATTCAAGCTCTGTTAATAATAACGCCCTGGAACCTCTTCTTTCGTAATTCAATAAATTATACGGAATGATTCTTGTAACAGAAGAAGAAGAGCTGTTACTCGTAGTTTAGATTTTATTAAAACATAAGAATATCGTTTCTGATAAATAAAGCAGTGGAATGAGTGTTGGAAAATTAAAATTCGTATCTTCAACGCTTTCCAACGAAATGATCATTCATCCCTTTAGACAGTTTAATATCATTGAATAAATAACTATTACTTGGGTTTTAAGTACGACACTGTTTTCTGTAGAACGTACAAGACTATTGGTTGAATCGATATGCGTGCGCAATTGCGCATGCTAATGTATGTTCCATATTAGGCGGGAACGAAGTTACGTGATCATTTACAATAGAAGTACAGAATGTTTTGCTTGAAACATGACAACGAAAATATTTCTCATTTATCTACCGCGTTAGTTAAATGTTTCGAAATTTAAGTAAAAAAATGCCCGGAGATTACGCTGGTCGTCTTCAGCCTATGCGCCACCTACGTGACCCTGAATCTAACGAATCAATAAAAGCGCCCTCTTTTCTGGAATAATACAAATTAAAAATATCTAAATTAGGGAAAATGTTCTAAATCATTTAAATAATTTCCAGCACTTTGAGGGTTTATCTACATATGTACATAGGTAAATTTCTTTAGATTCTCTTTAAACTATACTTCCTGAAAATGTAGTTTCTTATCTACATTAATAAGAAACCAGACATGCAATGTCACTAAGATAGGATTAATAAAATAATCCCACATGAATAGTAACTTAACTTTGCAACATGTATTAGAGACACAACATTTTTCTTATGATTTTATGAGTTTATTTTTTTTTCAATTATTTTTTTACAATCGTATGCTTCATATATCAGTGGTACATGAAATATCTTATGTTAAATATAACTAATATGTAAAGGATAAATTATGGCCAGGATGGAGGTTCTCCAGGTTTCAATTCTCTTCCATACAGAGCTGACTTGTCACGATATCTGCTACTTAGAGTTGATGAGTACAAATTGTATAGCTGTCTTGATGCTACTGTCGTAGCTGCGAATGCAACAAACATTATAGCAGATTGTGTTGCAAACGGCAATTTATTAAATGCCTTATGTAGGCCCATTTTGCCTCTTTTATTCTAATTTCTGTTCCCTGGCTTTCTTTTGCTTCCACAATCGTGTGTGATTCCAATCAGCGAAAATAGTACCAATTGCAATGGTAGGAAAGAGAATCACTGCCCAATGCCGCCGAAGATTTCTTCCTATACCCATTAAACTGGAAATTAAAAGAAACATCACATTTTAACGCATAGACTTTCAATGGTAACATCGATTATAATAAAAGACGTAAGGAATGCAATTTTAGAGGTTAAAATATCTGTTAGATCGAATTAACATTATTCGCTGCGTAAAACGAATGAATTGATCTCGGGAAGCAGCATACATGCTGTAATGTCAATTAGTTATAAAACTTCGTAAATTTTTACCTGATATCAAACTGTGAAGTTATTGCACGATGATGTGCATTATTACTCCCACTACTGTGTGAGACACCGTGAGATGCGAATGGTGTGACGTAACTTTCACAGATCTACTCTATACAGATAGATATTTGTCTTCAGTATGATCAAGTTCGTATGCAAGGGAAACCAGGGATTTAATTACAAGAGATCACGGTAAATCATGTCTGATTGTTTAATTAAATCAAATTTTCAATTCCTCGAGTTTATCGCGCTGTAGCGTGGCGCCATTCAGTGTACAAATTACAGAACAACTCGATGTATCTTAAAAGGAAAAACAGGCATCTGATTTTCAAATGGAATATTAGAATTGAAATGATCTTCGACGACTTTCCAAAATTAATTTGTGAATCGCCTAATATAATTCCTTGAATCGAGTAAAATTTAGTGGCAAGACAATTGGAAACGAGAAAGGTGGTAAATCAGCTCTTTATTTGTTGTTAAAAAAGAATCACGCATAAAGAAATGAATACAATTGCTCATTCTTATGATTTTGACATTACATTTCATTCTCTCCCGTGACACATCAATTGTCGTCAATTTAAATCAAATTTAATAGCCATTAACTTTGATTGAAATATTTATTCCTAACAATCTCGTCGAGAACTTGATAAAGTTAATAATAGGGATCAATGTCATCGGGTGATTGATTTAAGAGTTGCATATCGTAGGCTTGTCCCATTGCATTGGAATCATACGTATAAGACAATTTAATATATATAACGATTCTGATATCGTCTCTCAGATATCTTACAAATTCAGGAAACCGTTCATCAATGCGTACACTCGGGGACGTCTCGTATTTCAATTAAGTAATACTTATAAAAAGTTCGCGGGAATTTTTCGCAATACGCTTGCCGGTGTATGTGCAGCCTAACGAGGAAGATGGAATTGCGTGATACACTGGTGTGTACGGGATTGTTCATAGCGCCACCCCACTCCGTGACGGTTTTCAGTCGAGCTCGAACCTTCATCGGGTGTGGAGTGTGTGTTGTATTATCGTGTGTCAGTGTTCCGACTACTCACTGAAAATTAAGGTAAGACTTCTTTTTCCCTCGATTCGCATTTACGCACGCGGCAAGGCAACGAAACGTATCAGGCTGATGATCGGGAACCGGTGCAATCGGCGAAACTCCGCGCGAAAACCGTCCTCGTTCTCGTTTCTCGTTCACCGCCGCGTCGGTGGCGGACAGCGCACGATCAAGTTTCGATGATTACATTTGGCGTAATATACGCGTTCATAGAGGCCGAGGAGCGAATCCGGCGTTCTTAACGAAAGCACAACAAGAGACAGCGCCTCTCCCACGAGATAAGAGAGACAGAGAGAACGTGGTGGCGCTCAGAGCCGTCTTCGTGTGTACTCTCGGGATCGATACACAGTACACACTTGCCGCGACGTTCGTGTAAGGTTACGGTTTTGTACGGGATCGCATGCGGGTGTGTGTATATCCCTCTTTCCACGCTTGTCTCTGCTCGCGACCGTCGTGTACCTCGCCGCCGTGGCTGCGTGCACGGCGAGGGTTGATTTTCGGTGTAACCACGGGAAAATATTCAAAGAAATCGAGAAGTACGCGGCCGCAGTATGCGGGCACCTCGTGAAACGCACCCCTCGCACTCGAGGCCAACCCGGCCGGCACCCAATCTTGAAAAGGAACGCGTGATAATGACAAGTAAGTGCGTCTGTGGATACATATTCAAAACGGCAGACACCCGTTCTAACAATTATAATAACGATCCTCCCCGCATGAAACCTCTTTGCCATTGTGTCATTTCGAACAACGAGGAGACAATCATTTAAACTTACGTAATTTAACAGTGGCAAAGAGCTCATCAGAAATATTCCGTATTCGATTTCAGAAATGTATAAAAGCCGATACGGGTTATTCTGAACCTCGTCTCGTTTTTTCTTTTACACTGACGACTGTATTTCCAATATTCCGTTTTATATTTTCGATGATAACTTTTTTGCTCGTGGCATGTGGCTGTGGGTCGTTCAACCACATATCGTGTTATTCTTGTGCCGAATGAATCCGACATTTTCTCGCTTGTACTCGTCAGTATACACGTTGAACGACAACAGGATAAATCATAATACGCTCGACTGATTGTGGGAACCGAAGAACCGCAGATCGCGCGCGACCGATGCTGAGATTAGGATAGGTTTTCGCCGACTTTTTACGTAAGGAGAAATAGTAATATCCTAACCCATTTTCCGGTTCAATGAACAATCGTGTTCTATACAATTTCGCTGGGTTTGGCAAAAGTTCTTTTCCGCGTCTTTCTGCCACTTTCGAGTTCTCTTCTTGCTTACAGAAGTCAAACGTATATCGGTTACTGTTTTAAACGGTTCAGAAACCCAAGCTGTTTATTATTAGCGAACGCTTGGACGAAATTACTTCGTAAGGGGAATACTTATGTCCGTGGATTTGAATAAGTGTTACACGTTTTTTTCTCGTTGTCAAGGTAACTTGGACTTAACGATATACATAATAGAAACGTGACTAGCTATCAGCGATTTGCGATCAGAATTAAGAATCTTGGCGTGAAACGGAACATGAAAATGAAACACTTCCATATATACATACATAAATACGTAATATTCCGACAATCGCATTACGCTTATCCTCGCGCGTGTTCCAGGTACACACATAGGAAGACGAAACCGAGTGTACGCAAACAACGTATTTACATTGCATTAGTTACGTACTGACGCTTTGACGCGAGTTGATCCTATTTCTGTTTTTTATGTTTTTTTTTTATCGACGTTTAAAACCGGTAACTAGTGCAGCCGGTCGAAAGTATGTATACGTGTACATACAATCAGTAAAAATTCGCGCACTCAACGTACAGAATACATATTAATAACCGTAAATGCGAGTTTGCTGAACAAATTGAATTCGTTTTCTCTCTCGGTTCTCATGCGACGCCGAGGTAATCGAGATGTACCGAATCAATAATAACCGCCTGAAAGTGGGTGTCAATTTCAATAGGAACTGGAACGCGGCGGCATTATTTCGTTTTAAATTGTGGCACGCGGAGAGTTTGTAGTCTCAAGGAGGAAGTGAATTCACAGCTTATCGGCCGTGCCCCGCGGAAAATCTGTATTTTCGATGGGAAACCGACTACCTCCGAGCTCGCGTTTTGTACACCCGCCAACAGTTTGTCCGTGGCAGAGATACACGATTATTATTACCGAGGTAATTAACCGGCGGAGATAGTTTTTGTCATCTGTCCCTTGAATTACAGATACCTCGTTAAATAGCATTTTGATCGTTTAATGACCCGAGCTAATGAGGTTTACTAATTTCTCTTGCATGAACCTTGATTAATGTTAAATGTGATAGACCTCGTTGTGTCACGTTTTCTGAGATTATATAATTAGATCAGTCGATAGGGTTTCAGTCAGTGAAGTGCCGTTTTAGTTTGACTTGTGTTCGATCTCTGAGTGAAAGCTTTTCTTCCGGTAGCTGTAAGTATCGGAGGTCACCGGATACGATCAGACGTGTCATTCATAGAAAGAATGGTAGTAATCAGAAAGTATTGTTTGTACGTTGCTTATCATTAAACTTGAGATCTTCATACAACATAAACTATTTATGGTATCAGCTTAAAAGATGCGTTCTATATAAACATTCGTTTGATCATTTAAACATTCTCAATTGTTTTATACTAATTATCTACCACGTGAATTTACTTGAAATTTTCATAGCCAATTTTACACGGAAATATTCTTTTATAAACAATTTTATTTTCTTAACGCTGCATCGATTGAACGCACGAGAAACAAATTGCACTGACGTTAAGGATAATTGACGTACGGTTGACCGTCTGTCGATGGATCAGACAATCGAGAAAAACAGATTTGTTGGTGACACGCGACCGCGGACGCGCGGACGGGACACGCGTGTTCCGCGAGTGAATCGAACGGAAGCGTTATTGAATCGGTAATACGGTCGAGTGGCTCATCGGAATGCCGCCGTGTATCGTTATACGCCCAGCGAGTGAGTCGATCCACGGCGGTGTCGTCTCGAGCTTAACGCGAACGATCGGCATGCAAGGTGAGAGGGGCCGATTTATTCGAGCCTCGATCAGAATGCAGAAAAAGCCGACGTTTCCAGACAAAAGCTATCGGCAGCTTTGACCGAGTGGAAATCCTCCCGCTGCCCATTATCCCCCTGTCGCTCTCGAAAACCCGCGGAGATCCAACATCCCACATCTGGACCTGACGTTTCGCGTTTAAATTATAATAAAGAGGGTGGGCGTAGAATTTCCGGTGAAAGTTTTCGGCAGCACTTAAACCAGTTACTCCGGAGCATTTGCGGGATACTCGAGAATTGATAAAGCTCTCGTTATCGACCCCCTTCCGACGACGGGCACTCAATTATTTGGCTCGTTGCGTCTCGAACTTAGACTAAGTCGGAAAAATTGCGGCTGAGATTTATCGAGTACTCAATCTTCGCGCTTGAATAGCTTCCGCGAGTCACATTTGGAATTAATGAAATTATCGTGGCTCTTAATTATCAACGATGGAGAGATTCCTCGTACGAATCGAAGCACATTCGAGCTTTTATTAGTCGATAAATTCGTAGCAACGAGCATTCACCCGGCGTGTAGTACCTACGTGTATCTTGCATTCAAACTACGTTGCAGGTTTCACCAATTATCGAGACGACCCGCGAGAGGCGGCGAAATTTTAATTAAAACCCCGGACCCGGAACCGATGGTTCATTTTTCTCTATTCGCTTCAATAGTAAAAACTCGTGGCTTCGCGACGTGGAAGATATCATTGGTCAACTGAAAGCCCGTGGCCACAAAGAGCAATCCGAGCGGTGGGAAAGAGGAGAGCTTTCAGCCGGTTTCCGCCGCAAATTATCTTTCAATTAACATCGCGGGATATCGTCTGCGTGACATGGTTCTCTCTCCCTTCGCTGTTCCCTTTCACGAGAATTTTCCATGCAAACGCTTCGGGGTTACTCGTTGCCACGGAAGACGTCAGACGAGACGAGACGAGCGCGAAACCTGGGCCGGAGCTAAGGACTTTTTAGCGGTAGAATTGCAAAGCAAACTATGCAGAAACCGCCCCGGGTGTAGCCGCCTCCGTCGCTTTATCTTCCTTGTTTGGCTTCGGTGAAAAGAAAAATTACCTTGGCGAACGAGGCCACAAACAAATTACCCCGACTACATTTCCCCGTTCTGCTAATTTTCTTCCGGTTGGGTAGAAAGTATTAAATAATAATGCATTTCCTGTTGGAATAGTAGGAATAATTAAATCTCCATGGAGACAATAAGATTATATAACAAGATTGGCTTCTCTCGTCGGATGTTGCAGTATCCCTTCGATAAATGTAGAGCTAAGGCTCGAATTTATAGTCGCTTCTCGCATTTGACACTCAGCACTCAAGTGCGTCCCACCAATGTACACATTGTTATGTTAAAAAAGAAGTGAGAGAATCGGAATAGCTGCGCAGTAATTTTTCTCCTTTTCCGCTTCTTTCACTTCTTTTTCAAGCATGATTTTTAATGTAGTACGTGGAACTCTTCGGTCCCTTCAGTTTTATCTCAAGTACATTCTTATTGTCTGGCATTTAATTTTTGAATAATACGGGAAATCGATTGCGGGGTAAGATGGAAAATCGCGAGGACCGTAAGAGGAAAAAACGGGGCGGTCGCGCATCGGTGAGTGCATTTTAAAAGTTGCATCGGGATCGGTGAGCTGGGTAGCGCGAGGAGGGTAGCCGGCGCTAAAGGGAAACTTTTATAATTAAAAACGAGGTTGAAAGTAGCGCAAACAGCGTTGGCGCAGCCGTGGCCCGAAACGCACGAGCGCGCAGTTCGCATGCATCTAGTAACAAACGTCTACACAGTAACGGACGACGTAAAGTAATTACCATAAAACGCGAGTAATATTTTGAAGTTAAAACGTTGAATTTTTTTATTCACAATTTCTTCTTGGGAATATTTTTCTTTTAAAGAAGAAAGTAGTTTTCGTAAGGCGAGGTCGTTAACAGGTTTCGGTTGCTGACGATTATCGTCGTGT